ACAACAGCCAAACATTCACCCGCATACATAATCGAACATCCCCCCACACTTAAGCACGACATTGTCCTCAATGGAGGAAAGATAAGGAGGGTAGAACGAAGTTACCAGATCAAGGGTGAATTAAAGTGGACGGGGCAGGCGGTGCATTTCAGGAGGAGAGAGTAGTCGGAACACAAACACCACAAAATCTCACAAAGGTTGAGTTATTGACTCTAAAATCAAATAACAAAACTGACTCAACCGAAGAGAAATAGAGAAAGAAATGCAAACCGACTGGTTGGGTTGCCTCCCAACAAGCGCTTCTTTCACGTCGTGAGCCGGACGATGGCTCCTAAGTTTCGGTCCACCCCAAAACCTCCTTGAAGTTGAGGTTCTCGTCACTGAGGTGGAGTCTCAAGTCACGAGCATGTAGTGTGGCAGGTGATAAAGGCTCATGCACTTGATGCAGATAACGTCTCCACCCTCGAGACCTCTTCTTCTCTTCGCTCGTCTCATTGCCCCGAATCAAATATGACATCATTGATTGGCCACCATCGCGTCCACCAAGAGGGACCGATGTTGATGTGGACTTGGTCTGGCAAAGAGACACTGCAAATGGGTCCTTGCTAAGCAGTTCCTCGAAGTCTGGTGGAGATATCACATGTAACTCATGGCCGGTGCAGGCCTCTTCCACCTTAACTTCGTCCTCGGCCTGGACGCCAATTGCTTCTTCAACCTCCCTTTCTTCTTCATGTGGTATCACCCCTGGGAAATGATCAAGAACTCCTTCTGCTTCACTTTCGGCATCCTCCACAACTTCTTTCTGCACCCTTTCTTGCTCTTCTTCTTCTAGCACGGATTGAAGAGCAAGCTGCCAAGCAATTTCTTTCATGAGATCTTCTTGCATCTTCTCACTCATGCTCGCCTCTTCAAAGCTCAGTTTGGGATGTGGGAAGGTGTGGTCGGCTATGACAGGACATTCCTGATCATGATCATCACGGGAGCTCTCCGTGACATCTTTAGTGTGCTCCACAATGTCCTTGTAGACTTCTTCTTCCTCCTCCTCTTCTAGTATGGTAGCAGAAGGGTGATCTGGAGCAGCTTGTGCCCAAGATCGCTCAAGATCATCGACGCTCTTCTTAAGGCTCAGGAGGATCTCCTCCGTTTCACGATAGGCTTGGACACAATGATCCATCCTGGAGCATGTTCTCTCACTATCTCGAGCAAACTGTTCCATGAGAAGCCTCAATTCATAGTTTGGATCTGGCTGTGGAGTGTAGCATGGCTCTGCAGAATGGCCCGTGAAGGCCGCCATGGGTAACTCCAGCACCGATGGCCCTTCTGGTTGTGGGAGAAATTCTTCTTGTTAATGAGGTTGTTTTTTATATGCCCAGGGGTCTGGTTGTTCTCCGTAGTAAGGGGGTTGGTACTGGAACCCGAATCCATAGTCTTCTCCTCCTTGATTGCTCCAGGGAGTCTCGGGGTAATACCACTCGGATGGTGGTGGATACCCCTAATGATTGGAGAAGCCATGAGGATCCATGATTCAAATATGCACCAACAAAAACAAAAACACCCAAGTGAAAAGCAAGGGTGGAAAAGAAAAGAAAAGAAAAACGCTAAAGTAACAAACTTCTGCCTTTCCTAATACTCTAGAAAGTCCCCGGCAACGGCGCGAAAACTTGACTCGATACGACACAACTCCTAACAAAGGCCAAGTGTAACCAATGAAAGGGACTGCAGTATAGTGTCTCAAGTAATAAATATCGAATCCACGGGTCTCTAGAGTTACTATTACTCAGCTTCAGTTCATTATTTAGCAAACCAGATTAATATGGAAGAAGTAAAACTACTCTAGCAAACTACAGTTAAAGTTAATCTAATTACAGGTTGGGAACTCACTTAGGTATGATTCCCCCTAGCCACTAGCCAGATTAATGATTGATGATCTCTAACCTGTTTCACTTTCATTCACAATGCGGAGAATCCTTGACTAGACCTTGAGTCTCGACTAAAGGAACAAGGCCCTCTTGAGTCAATTGCCTAGAGGGACGTATCCTTCTCTAGAACAACCGATCAAGGCGTTCTGAACTAGACTCCCTCTATTGAAAGAGGTTCTCAATCGATACAAAGCAGTGAATCAACCCTAGACTAAAGCAATCGATCCACTACTATCAATATATGGTGCTCTATTGACCTAATCAGGTATTCTCTCTCATAGGATCAAAGCAGAATCAATAATCTCGACTAAAGCAGAATTAAATCATGAAAACATACATAGATTGAAGACTTGACTTGCTACGACACAACTCCTAACAAAGGACAAGTGTAACCAATGAAAGGGACTGCAGTATAGTGGCTCAAGTAATAAATATCGAATCCACGGGTCTCTAGAGTTACTATTACTCAGCTTCAGTTCATTATTTAGCAAACCAGATTAATAAGGAAGAACTAAAACTACTCTAGCAAACTACAGTTAAAGTTAATCTAATTACAGATTGGGAACTCACTTAGGTATGATTCCCCCTAGCCACTAGCCAGATTAATGATTGATGATCTCTAACCTGTTTCACTTTCATTCACAATGCGGAGAATCCTTGACTAGACCTTGAGTCTCGACTAAAGGAACAAGGCCCTCTTGAGTCAATTGCCTAGAGGGACGTATCCTTCTCTAGAACAACCGATCAAGGCGTTCTGAACTAGACTCTCTCTATTGAAAGAGGTTCTCAATCGATACAAAGCAGTGAATCAACCCTCGACTAAAGCAATCGATCCACTACTATCAATATATGGTGCTCTATTGACCTAATCAGGTATTCTCTCACATAGGATCAAAGCAGAATCAATAATCTCGACTAAAGCAGAATTGAATCATGAAAACATGCATAGATTGAATATGAACTCAAGATTATCAAGTCAGAGTACTCATACAATCATCCAATCAAACAAACATAGCTAGGGTTCCTCAAAACCTAAGTGAAGGGAAGTTACTCCATAGAGAAGAGAGAGACTGCGGTAAGAATCTTTAGATGATCAGTCTTCAAGTCCAGGCTTGTTCCTCGAGCTTCCAAGGCAAAGAAATCCTCCAATTCCACTCTTAGAATGCCCTCAAATCGCCCTCTCTCTCTTTGGTTCGTCCCTTGGGTATTTGGGATCCAAAACCCAGCTCTCTCTTTGGTTTGACTTTAATCCGCCAAAAAAATCGGATTCTGGGCAAAACACTGTCGCGGACACGGCCGTGTTTCACTTTTGCCCGTCCGTGTTTTGCCCCGTGTTGAAAACACGCCCGCGCGCGTCGGCCCAAACACGGTCGTGCCTAAATATGGGCACGGCCGTGTTTTGATTTAGGCGCGCCCGTGTTTTTACTGCCAAACCTGTTCCCCTATATTCAATGCTTCGTTTCTCCCTCGTCCGGACTCCGAATCAATCGCCGTTTGATCCCACACGCTCGTAGTCTCGTCCTCTTTCTTTTCATGACAAGCTTGCATGATTCTTTGTCCATAAAGTGAGTTAGAAATCCATTCTTCTTCAGGTAATGCCTTAGTTTCTTCTCCCTCATCGCCAATTGATCTCTAATTGACTTGAAACTTGCGCCTATGCTTCACTTTATGTGCTAGGACCTGAAATGTGATAAAGGAACACAACCTAGCATAAAATAGGCCAAAGACGCGATAATTAAAGCTCAAACGATCAAGAAACAAAGGGGAAAACATGTGCAAATATCGAGTCATCAGCGACGACCTGCTCCTCCTCGCCATCGACTGCGAGATTCCCCCAGACAGCTCCGACGGTGATATGACCCCAATTGGATCAATCCACAATTCACAATTACTTTTCAAAGAAGCCATCTCACCTTACCAGGAGAATTCTGATTTTTGGCCGTGTTGAAACAGTTTCAGGTAGCCTACTTTGGAAGCTTGTATCTCACAAATGACTCAATCAAAATGGGAGATCTGGAGCTTGTTTTGAAGATAATGTTATTATGATTACATTAGTATGTTTTGGAGCTCAAGGAGATGTCTGGAAGGTCACTTTCAAAGCCCATCAAAAGGCTACCTCAAAACAGGAAAACTGCCTAAATTTGGCTAAGGCAGAAAACTGTTTTGAGATACCAACTTTGAAAGCCTATATCTGGAGTTTGGAGCATGATCTCAGGCTGATTCAAGTTGGAGGTGAAACATGAAGTTTTATTCTACAAAGGAAAGGAATTGGTTGAATTCTAATCAACCTAGAAGACCATTTTCGAAGGGCACAAAGATGCTATGAAGCCTGTTTTCCTAGGCAGACTTGCTTGCGTTTTAAGTCAGTTTCTTGGCCAGCAAGTTACCTTGTTTTACACGAATTATTCAGCCTTTTTCTGATCTCATTAGATTCCTAGTTCTATTAGGTTTGTATTAGGTTTTTATTGTCTTTAAATAGCTTTCAATTTAACGTTGTAAAGCATCCAAGTTTTAGTTGAATGAAAATTGCTCCTTTGTGAGAATTGTGTTCTTTGAGAGTTCTCAAGAATCAAACCCTTGATTTAGTCGTGTGAGTAATTCCATTGCTAATTCGAGAACCCTTGTGAGGCTTTTCTGTGATGATTCCATATTCGTTTTACAAGTTTCTTATCAATCAAGTAATCACCTTGATTGTGGCGAAATTCTACCTATCCGTTTTATCTTTCGTAGAAGAGTTCTGAGCTGCGTATTCTGATCAAACAAAGCACCCCCTGGTGCTTTATCAAGTGGTATCAGAGCCTTAGGTTCAAGTCAGTGGAGCGAAGGATTGAAGGCTGAGTTTCGTACAACAAAATTCAGCACAAAAAACAGAGCACTATGGATACCGAGGAGCTAGCACGTTCGATGATCTTCACCCGTTGTTTAATCCAAGAGAAAACGTGTTCGGTTCTTGTTGATGGAGGCATGGAGAGGAACTTGATTTCCTCTAGGACTGTGAGCAAGCTAGGGCTGCAAACACAGCCACTATCGAAGTTCTATACCTTTCAATCGCCTTATGATGGACACTCCAATTTCGTATTCTCCCAAGTAGCTGTGGAATTTTCAATCGGACAATACGAAGACAAGATTATTTGCGACGTGGTTTATGATCTTCCCAGCCATATCGTGTTGGGGCAGCCTTGGTTTCGAAATCGAAAGGTCGAGTTCGTTAGCCGAAGAAGCAGAAAATTCAGGGTTCGAAAACAAAACAAAATTTTCGTATTAAATCCACTAGCTACAAAGGAACCTGTTGGCGACGTGAAGGAAGTACAAAGACTTCACGAGGAGTACCATCAAGCCCTGTAGTCACAGATTTCGTCTCCAAACAACAAGAGTGATCAAACTATGCTCGGCAGCAACCCGCACAGTTTTTCGCCGGAAAAACAGAGTGTCGACACCAGCCTTACTGTCGACGAGGAGGAAGAAGATCATGAGTCCAAAGCAGCTAAAAATGTATACGAGGATGTTAACGGGATGAACAGAGAACGAGGAGAAGTTGTGGAGCATATTGACGACGCTCGGGTCGTTCCGGTGACACAAACAGAGGACCCCTCTTCTCCGGAGAAACAGAGCAGGAGAGAGGTTGTATCGGGAGGAGCTCCGAGGAGCAACCCGTCCCAATCCAAGGTGATCAAAATACTCCCTTCCACCTCAAGAATCTCTCCGATCGATCAAATGGAAAAGATTCCTTCGGTTTTGCAGAATCAAAATCGAGCAGCAACACCTCTGGAGACGCTTCTTCGCGACCAAAATTCGAGCAAAGTGGATTAGGCGATTCGGTATGATTCTAAGCAAAAGGTCGACGAGGGATCATCAGAGAAGGTTGTACGAAGCTGTTAGAAGCTTCAATTTTACTCGAGGATGCCTGAGGTACAAACGCCCAATTCGAAAGTTTGTCGCCAGAATTTTGGAGAAGAAAAGAACCAATTGATTGGAGCGATTGGGCTCGAATCGATCGAAACAGAGACCTTAGGCAAGTTTCTAGAGTTACAAGGAAGCCGTAGGAGTCGACAAATTGTTACGGTGAGGCGGGAATAAAAAATACCCAATTGTCGAAGTAGTCCGCCGGTTTCTGGAATTTGCTCGCCGGATTCTGGAATTTTTAAATCTTCTGACGGCGGGAAATTTGGACGATTTCGAAGCGTGGGAGAAGGTGGAATCGACTCCTGGGAGACATTAGAAGCTAATTCTAGCAACGAATTGGAGCGAGGTGCCGATGAGAAGAAATCCCCAATTTTGGAGCGTTCGCCAGAAAATATGAACTCGCCAGAATCTGCAAATTTATGGCCGGAATCTGGAAATTCCCAACCTCCGATTCTGGGCTCGATTTTCTATAAAATTTGTGTGGGAAGGGTCATTTGGAGTCCCACTAAGCCGCTGAGACAGGTTGAAGGAGGATTTGAAAATGTCAATTTTATGCCGAAAATTGTGGAGCAGCCCTCTTTCGATCCACTTTGGGATCAATTCTGTCAAGTTTTTGACAAGAAGCAGATTCAAGCTTTGAGGTCAAAGCTTTTTGAAGAGGGGGAGCCTGATATGATCCCAATTGGATCAATCCACAATTCACAATTACTTGTCAAAGAAGCCATCTCACCTTACAAGGAGAATTCTGATTTTTGGCCAAGTGTTGAAAAAGTTTCAGGTAGCCTACTTTGGAAGCTTGTATCTCACAAATGGCTCAATCAAAATGGGAAATCAAGATCTTGTTTTATAGATAATGTTATTATCATTACATTGGTATGTTTTGGAGCTCAAGGAGATGTCTGGAAGGTCACTTTCAAAGCCCATCAAAAGGCTACCTCAAAACAGGAAAACTGCCTAAATTTGGCTAAGGCAGAAAACTGTTTTGAGATACCAACTTTGAAAGCCTATATCTAGAGTTTGGAGCATGATCTCAGGCTGATTCAAGTTGGAGGTGAAACATGAAGTTTTATTCTACAAAGGCAAGGAATTGGTTGAATTCGAATCAACCTAGAAGACCATTTTCGAAGGGCTCCAAGATGTTATGAAGCCTGTTTTCCTAGGCAGACTTGCTTGCGTTTTAAGTCAGTTTCTTGGCCAGCAAGTTACCTTGTTTTACACGAATTATTTAGCCTTTTCTGTTCTCATTAGTTTCCTAGTTCTATTAGGTTTGTATTAGGTTTTTATTGTCTTTAAATAGCTTTCAATTTCACGTTGTAAAGCATCCAAGTTTTAGTTGAATGAAAATTGCTCCTTTGTGAGAATTGTGTTCTTTGAGAGTTCTCAAGAATCAAACCCTTGAGTTAGTCGTGTGAGGAATTCCATTGCTAATTCGAGAACCCTTGTGAGGATTTTCTGTGAGGATTCCAGATTCGTTTTACAAGTTTCTTATCAATCAAGTAATCACCTTGATTGTGGCGAAATTCTACCTATCCGTTTTATCTTTCGTAGAAGAGTTCTGAGCTGCGTATTCTGATCAAACAAAGCACCCCCTGGTGCTTTATCAGACGGGAATCCCGCGACCGATCCCTCCACTACGCCCCCACGCTCTCCACCGGTGCTCCGTTCATCACTCCCGGTTTCGTTCCCGGCGTCGGTGTGGAGCTCCCACTCGTGGAAGAGTGAAACCCCTCGCCCACGGCGACTGCCTTGAGCTTTTCTGCCGCCGTGATCTGGTCGATGGTGCGACCTTTTCCCCCAGCGACGAGGTCGAGCTCCTTCGGCGGCTCGGCTTCCTTCTCCCAAGGTGGATCGCGGAGGATTGCGAGGATCGCGCTGACGTCGTTCGCCAACCGCCGTTTCTCAACGCGGACAACGTTGATCTCCTCCGATAACCGATCCTGTCCATCCTGAAGTTTCTCCTGACCACGCTGCAATTGCCCGACGTCGATGCGGAGATGCTCCAGGGCTGCTTCGTGATCACGGTTGATAGCATCCTGAGCTTCCATCCTAGCCACGATCACCTGTTGATGACCGGCGAGATTTGAAATTGAAGCGCTAGCTCCTCGTCGCCGGCGGCGGTTGGTGATGATGGTGCCATTGGCTGCTTGCGCGGTGGCATGGTCTCCTGGCTTGGTTCACTCGGAACCAGGCTCTGATACCAATTGATGCGGAACGGGATTTCACGCACCGGTGATCTCGAGCGATTTAGCGAAAGAACTAGTAAACACGATAAAAGAACTACTTTTCTCTACTAACTACTACTACTTTATTGATCGACTTAATAAAACGAAGAGCAAAGGTACATATTTATAGGACAAGTCCCACAAACCCCTTTCCTCTTAAGACAAGGAAACCCAAACCCAAAGCAACAAGTAAACGAATACTTCATAAACAAGATACATAATAATAATCCTAGACCCAAACTAATACGAATAACCCAAATAATAACCAAATATCCCACCAAATAATAATAATAAAACAATAATAATAATAATATTAATGGGCTCGGCCCAAGACGCCGTCACCCATCACACATCCTTCTATTCCTCACAACTCACCTCATTTTAGATTCTTGGCAACAACCGAAGGACTCTGCACACCACCTCAATCTTCTTTGTTCAATGTAAGCACCACAATACCCCACTTTTGTCAAAATAATGAAAACTGAAAAAAATCTGGGCATGAGAGTTTTGTTTGGTATGGCCAGTATTTCCATCTTTGTCATTTTTGTGTCTATTTTGCAAACTCAACCATTCATCATTTCCACTTTCATTATATGATTGTTTATAGGACAAACCATGCCAGGGTTACTACCCCAGGCAGTACTACTGCGGCCTCTAGTGACGTCGCTACAGCTTCAACTCCTTTGCCTTCTACTCAACCTCCACTAGTACATGGAGCAGATGGTAGCACACTGACAGAGGTTACCGGTGCAGCACCTAAAAAGCGGAAGGTGATGGAAAAAAGATCACCATATTGGAAGCAATTTGTGGGTTCCAAAAATAATGAAATGATAAAGCAACTTGCAATTATTGTCGAGCTGTAATTACTGCTCATCCGATTAGTAATGGGACATCTGGGTTGCAGACACATTATTTATCTTGTACAAAGAAGCCTGTGGACAAGAGTCAATTGGCTTTGAACTTGCAACCAACGGGAGATGGTCAGGTAGGTACTTGAAGTACCTGGAAGTTTGATCAAGATGATGCTAGAATGGCTTTGGTTGAAATGATTTTACTTGATGAACTTCCTTTCCGATATGTTGAGCATGAAAGATTCCGACGCTTCATGTCAAGGGTATGTCCTATGTTTAAGATACCGGGTAGGAAAACTGTTAGGGAGGATTGCTTTCGATTGTTTATTGAGAACAAAGATAGATACAAGGACTACTTTTCAACAAAGTTTCATGGGAGGATCTCAATTACAACTGATGCTTGGACTTCTTTGTCAAATTTGAATTTCATGTGCACAACTGCTCATTTTATTGACAAAGATTGGAAACTATATAAGAAGATCATTGCTTTTGTTCAAATCACTAGTCATGTTGGGTCTAATATTGGGAACACATTTGTTGTATGCATTGAGGAGTGGAACATTAAGAATATCCTATCCATTACTATGGATAATGCAAGTGCCAATACCACTGCCGTTACACACATAAAGCACAGACTGAAGCTTTGGGGGTAAGATTTTTTTGATGACAAGTACTTGCATGTGAGCTGTGTAGCTCACATTATTAATGTGGTTGTGGCCGAAGGGCTCAAAGATATTGGGAAATCACTTGAGAGGGTGAGAGAAGCAGTAAAGTGGGTGAAGGCTTCTCCTAGTAGATATGCAACATTCAAGAAATGCATTGTGTATGGAACAATAGAGTCAAAGAAATCGTTCCCATTAGACGTACCAACTCGATGGAATTTAACTTATCTCATGTTAGAATCCGCTGAAAGGTATGAAGGTGTATTTAGAGTTCTAGAATCAACTATGGATAACTTCAGCAAGTGCCTAGATCGCCTAACATATCAAGATGAGCAACTTGGAACCCCTAATGTTGTTGATTGGGCAAAAGTGTGGAGGCTAATGGAGTATTTGAAGTTCTTCTATGCCTTGACTACTAATGTTCCGGGTACTTCTTATGTCACTATATATCTTTTCTTTAGAGAGCTTTGCAATATTTATGATATGATAAGTGACTTGGAAAAAAATAGAGAAATTGAGGTACAACAATTTGAAGCTAGAATGAAAGTTAAAGTTGCAAAGTATTGGTATGAAAGCAATGTTAGTGGCAATGCAAACATGAAATGATTGTTCTACATTGCTTTTGTGCTGGATCCTAGACACAAATTTGAGTATCTTGATATTGCTTTGTCAAGTATGAATGGGAAAGATAGAGGTGAAATTTCGTCCAAGCAGATCAAGGAGGAGATGTGTGAGATATTTGAGCATTACAAGGGGTTGCTCTCACCCCGTCCAATGATCAAAGTGTGAATTTTACTATTGGTAACGATGCTGCTATGGATGCTATGAGATTAAGAGGAATTGAAGCAAAGTTCAGGAGGAGGAAGAAAGAGGCTATTGAACAGGGGACTCAAAGGGTTTCTAAATCTGAGTTAGATAGATATCTACCTGAGGAGGAGGATATAGAAGGTAATGATTACAAATTTGATATTTTGGGTGGTGGAAGTTGAATGGAGTTAGATACCCTGTGCTTCCAGAAATGGCTAGGGATATTTTTGCCATTCCTATTTCCACGGTAGCTTTCGATTATGCATTTAGCACTGTAGGTCGAGTGCTAAATGAGTTCAGGACATCTATAACCTTAAAGATTGTTGAGGCAATGATTTGTAGTCAAGATTGGCTAAGGGCTGATGACTCAAAGTTAATGAATGATGAAGAAGACTTGGAAGATCAAGTAGAATTCGAAAGTGGTAATTTCTTTTATTCTCTCCACTTTATTTTTTTGGTTGTTGTTTAGTTAATATTATTGTTCATTACCTAACTGCTACTTTTTTGCAACTAGTATATGCAACATTTCAAAGGTTAACTATGAATATGGGCAAAAGTGGGAGTGCTACCGGTGGTGTAAGCAATACTTCAGCAAGTGCAACTCCAAGTTTTGTTGGTGCAAGTTCAAACCCATGTTCTAGTTATAGCAATCCTCATCATGAAGAAGAAGATGAAGATGGCATGAATTATTATCCGGGCCATAGCGGGTGTGAGGATGTGATGGAGGATGAAGGATGATATGGTGCCTGTGAAAGAAACTTTATCAAAGACAATATTGTGATTAGAGTGTATTGCTTCTAACTTACTGTTTGAGGATATCTTGCTTAGTTGTGTATTTTATTGTAAGGGTTGGGATTGTTTGAGACCTTGTATTGTGTTTTATGAACTACTTATGTAATGTAACTGTTTGAATACTAGTTATGTTATGAGCTACTTATGTTTGTCACGTTGCTTAGGATAGTGGTTGACTTGTATGAATTCTAGTTGATTATTTGATTGTGAGGGGTAGAATTGTTTGAGACCTTATATTATGTTTTATGAGTTGTTTATGCTGTTGTGTTATGTTTATCGGGGTACTTAGTTGTTTGAATTGAGGGGATTCAAGTATTTGCCTTAATATATTTGATTATTAATTTTGAAGGTAATTATTTTGGTATTCGGTATTACCAATATCGTACCGAACTATTTAGGAATTGAGAATAGGACACCGAAATTATTTTGGGATTGAGATTGGGATTGATTATAGGGTATAATTCGGTATTCGATATTTTGATATTTGGCATCGAAATACCGATATCGTACCGATTTCCACCCCTTGTTCCATCTACAATCACTCAAAATGAGAGATTATCAATCTCAACCAAAAAGTGATATTATTAACAAGATTTTGTCTACCCAAAATTTTTTTTAAGAGAAAACAAAATCTAAACCTCAAAATAATGTATTTTCCCAATTCATACATTTAATTAATGCATCAAACTACAACACAAATTAATCAGATGTATCAATTTGGAGAATCTCAACCTGCAAACGACCCCTAAAATCGAATCATTCATGATTCTGGTGGATGATAAAAAAAGTTCAAATAATAAGATAATTACTTATGAAACTCGTAATAAACTAATTGAATATAAAAAGCATTACAAAATTCAAAAAAATTAATAGGGTGCCAGCCAAGTACATCGATCTTGACTGATCACCATTCTGAAGAACAACGGGTTCATCTCTTTTTCCTCGATTGCTCCATTTGACGACCCCGAGGTACAGAGCCATTACCAGGCTCTATGGAACAAGTATGGGAATGTGAATTTCCAGTTCTACGCCTACGATCAGGGGACCAGCGTGGACCAGTTTCTGAAGTAATACCATGAGCAGAGTTCGAATTACGACGGCGGGAAGGTGTTGGTGAGTTTCATTTGCTAGTGATGGGAGCGGCGGGTTGTCCCATGCGGATGGATTCTTTAAGGCGTGCGATAGGCTGAAGAAACAGGGGAAGCTGCAGGGGATTTTTGCTTGGTCGGCTGTTGATTCGAAAGCTAATGGGTTCCGCTATGAACGCCAGTCTCAGGCTGTGCTAGAACTAGTAGTCGTCTAATGGATTTCAGTACATCTTCAGCAAGCATTAATGTTTCCTTAAGTTATCATATTATATTTTCTTGATTGGATGTAAAGTTCTAATTATTCTCTGTTTCTAAGTTTCAAAAAGATTTCGGGTTCTTCTATTGAGTGGAAATATGGCTTTACATTTTGGGTTGTAGGAGTACCAAGCTCACATGATCATACTTTTATATGGTGCAACCAATCAACAATCTATAGAATTTTATATTCCAAATACACATACGAACAAACATTATTTCTACATCATCTTGTATAACCCCGTTTATTATATGTGATATGATTCTTATCATTCAAGTATTTCTGAGATTGTTTTCTCCATCGTCATCTTAATTTCATAGGGCAATAATTAAAAGAGCTTTTGGTCTAGTGGCCAGAAAGGTTTCTGATGAGACGTTATAAGTGACGGGAGATGTTAGGGTGCTAACTCCTTAGGGGTTAGTACTTAGTACCATGATAACCAAGGGCAAATTAGGAAAATATGTGGAAAAGTTTCAAATGTTTATTTAATAAGATTTTCGGAAAAAACTGAAAGGAGGATTCAACGGGAACCCGACGTGGGCAGTTGCTATTCCGGAGCTTTGCAGTATTTAGTAGTGTTTTGCATAAATAACACATGATGATTGTAGTGTAGTGTTTTCAAACAGAAGCAATGATCCCA